TTCTCCTCATCTGTCAGTTTCCAACCCAGTGGTCACTTCCTCTGGGAAGCAGTCTCCATCCCCTGCCCCAATAGGTTCCCTAATTACTTTCATAGCACCAGCTTCCCTTCATCACACCTACCTTAGCGGCAAGTTCAAGTTTATCTTTGCAGTTATTTGATTCTTGTCTGTCTCCCCTGCTAGACTCAGAGTTCCTTGAGGGCAGGCCCATGTCTGCTCACTTAATCTCCCAGTTGCTGGCACAGAGCCCAGCATGCAGTTGGTGCTCAATAAAGGGAATTGAATACATAAGCCAGACTTCCACTCCCTCAGTGAATGGTTTCTTGCTCCCACTTCCACGCTCCTCTATCCTCCCCACCCCCATACCTTGTATCTACCCCTCCCATAGCACTCAGCATAAGACTAAGTGGCTATTGGCACCTACACACATACACATGCCCACACATGTATACACACACATACACACACACACACACACACACACACTAGACTGTGGCTCCAGAGGGCAGGGCCTGTGTGCTCCCTATCACTGCACCCCAGTGGGTCTCCTCCAAAAAGGCAGTGCTGCCGTGCACCTTACCCTGACTCTTCCTCCTACTCAAAGACACCAGCTCAGGCTCAGCAGAGAGTCTGTGCCCTGAAGGCAGGTCAGGCCCTTGTTCTGGTTGAGCAGCATTTCCCATCCTCTTATGTACCCATGGCCCTAGAAGAGCCTGTCCAAACAAGCTCTTTGGTGGTCTGTTTGCAAAGCCCCTGTGGCTGCATTTTAGAAACCAAAGATTGGCATACATAGACTGAGAAATATAACTGGGGACAAAAAACAGAATGTCTTACCTTGGGCCTTGCTCAGAAAGTTGGGAACTTTGGTCCAGACTTTAGGGACAGCTACATTTGCCCATCAAAGCTCAGAGCCCAGGATCCCTGGTGCTGCTAGCTCCTACATAGTTAAGCAGCATGAACAAATATGTTATAAATGAAATTTTGTTAAGAAAAATTATATCTTAAATACTCTCAGAAAGCTTGCTATTTAAGAAATTCCTTTTGTAGAATGAAATTATTTATTTATTTATTTATTAGGGCAATTTAGCAATTTGTATTAAAAGCCTTAAACAGGGCACTACCCACAGCCCAGTGATTGTATTTCTGAGACCAATGGAAATTTTTAAAGGGCTAATCCCAAATTTAGCTACAAGAATATTTGTCACACAGAATTGCTTGTAAGAACATCTGGTTGAAAACAATCTAAATGTCCAGCAGGAAGTAATTAGTTGGATTAACTAATTAATTAGTTGGATTAATTAATTAGATTAGGTGCAATTAGGGACTGGGAAGTGTTCTGTTCTGTTGTACATAGGATTACTATGAGTTGGGTCCGACTCAACAGCACTTAACAATCACATTACGTAAATCACATTTATACGGTGGAATACTCTGCATCCCATATAATAACACAACATTCCCCATGATGAGACCGGCAATCAACTCCATGGTGGAATCTACTGTGAGGAGCTGAGGAGCTACCTTAGGATATGTGGTCTGCTTCCTGTATATAAAGAGAAGCCTTGGGGAATGGTCTCTAGCTTATGGCACACTTGAACCCTACATGTAGCCTTGTCATTGTTCAGCAGCCTCCCATGCTCTGCCGACCTTGGGACTTTCAGTGGACTTGAATTAATGGCCTGCCATGTGGTTTGGTAACATCAAGACTGTGTCTTTTTACTTCTTAACCTTGGGCTTGTCAGCCTCAGCAGCCAGCAGCTACCTGAGTGAAGAAAAACCTCTAGCTTCAGTGGGCTGGGAGCAGGAGACAGAACTGAAGCCCAAGGTTGAGGGGCTTTAAGCCAGCCCTTAGAGCCTGGCACTTTGAACTCGGACTTAATGCCTCCAAACTGTAAGAGAATAAACTCCTGCTTGTTCAAGCCATCCCATCTGTGGTATATTTTCTGTTAGAGAAGCACAGAGGTAACAGAAACAATATCCTCCAGGACTGTGAGGACCAGATCCTCATGATAACATGTCCAAAGTACATGAGACAAACTCTCATCATCCTCTCTTCTAAGGAGAATTCTGGCTATACTTCTTCCAAGAAAGTTTTATTTGTTCTTCCAGCAGTCCATGGTATATTCAGTATTTTCGCCAACAACATAATTCAAAGGCATCAATTCTTCACTCTTCCTTATTCATTGTTCAGCTTTCCCATGCATATGAGGTGATTGAAATTACCATGGCTAGAGTCAGGTGAACTTTAGTCCTCAAAGTGACATCCTTGCTTTTGAACACTCTACAGAGATCTTTTGCAGCAGACTTGCCCAATGCAATATATTGTTTGACTTCTTGACTGTTGCTTCCATGGACATTGATTGTGGATCCAAGTAAAAGGAAATCCTTCACAACTTCAACCTTTTCTCCATTTATCATGATATCGCTTAATGGTCCAGTTGTGAGGATTTTGTTGTCAACATTTATTGAATGACTTCTTACTCTGTGCTAAGAGACCACATCAAAGCTTTATGTACCATCTCATTTAATTCTCCCAATAACCCTGTGTGGTACCAGTGTCATCCACAAATCACGACCTAGAAAAGTTAACTCATTTGCCCAAGGTCACCTAATAAGTAGCTAGGATTCACAATCAGGCTGCCTAACTCCAGAGACTAAGACCATTATACTATCCTGCCCCCAAATAATGCTATTAAAAACTACCCTGTAGAAGCAAGACTATTCATGGGGAGCAATGTTCATGATACATAGATAGGTAAAACAAGCAGGTTCTTACACAGTACATGCAGCCCGATCCCATGCATGCAATGCAAAGAGTTTGTAAAGATAACACTGTTAGCATCTGGGTGTAGCTCTCTGAGTGGGTGGAATTGCTTGTGTTTCTTGGGTTTGTCTGCTTCTGTTTTCTGATTTTTCTGTAATAAGCATGTATTGCCTTTGAACAAAGAAAATAATAATTCTTAAAACAATGACATAAATGCCAAAAATCAGTCCCTCATATTCATTTCCTGCATAAACCCAAATGCCCAGCTATCAGCCTTGCTCCAAGTATGGGACACAGTGGCAAGTATAGAGCTTGGTATATGGCCCAAAGCCAACTTACCGGCTTTGCTTACTCTTGGTGGGGAAATGGTTCAAGTCAGCAAAGGTTCTCAAGTTGGGACAAGACAGCACAAATTCTTCCCATTCCACCCTTCTGCAGTCTGCAACCTCCTCTCAGGAGCCCCACTGGGCACTTGCCCCCTCAGGGAGCTATGTGAGCAGCAAGAGCTGTCAACTTCAGCCCCGGGTCCAGCTCTGGCCTTGGAGCCTAGTGGAGGGACCCCACATAGCCTGATATACTCCATTCTCTGTCTCTGGAACTCTCAAGGAAGTGCCTCACCAAGACCTGAAGGGCCCAGAGATCTGAGTGGCAGAATAGCCCAGGGGCAGGAACCCCAGTTCTGCAGCCAAATACCAGAGCACTCTGGCCTTGTCACCTACTTCTTATCTATGTGGTCTTGAAAACCCACTGCCATCAAGACAATGCAGACTCATAGCAACCCTATAGCACAGAGTAGAACTGCCCCATAGGGTTTCCAAGGTTGTAAATCTTTACAAAAGCCAACTGCCTCTTCTTTCTCCCACAGAGTGGCTGGTGGGTTTGAATCACTGAACTTTTGGTTAAGAGTTGAATGCCTTAACCACAGTGAGTTATTTCTTCTCACTGAACCTGTTTCCACACTTGTCTAATAAAGACATTAAAAATGCCAACTTGAAAGGAAAGTTGTAAGGATTAAAATAATCTATATAATAATGATGCCAGAAAATTACATTTCCTAGGTGCTTACTATGGATCAGGTGTCCATTAAAGACTTTATATGTACATTATTATGTAACTCTCCCCCACAGCTGCCCTATGACAGGCACTATGACTATTTCTAGGAATCAAAGGCTTAGAATGGTGAAGTCACTTGCCCAAGATCCTGCACAAGTAGTAATGGGATGAGAATTTCTGCCACCATCACTGTGCCCACACCCACTGCACACCACTGTTATCTTTAGCCTGGCACGGTAGAGAGCTTCATCCAGATGGCCATCATTGTCATGTCTCTCTGCCTAATGTTGGAAGCTGGTGTGACAGTGAGGAATCCCAGCCTGGTTCTTCCTACCAAGACCACATACCCACTTTAGAGAGCTTTCCTGTCAAGAGTGGTCAAACTTCCCCCCACACACTCTTTGAGTCAATTCCAGTGACCATATAGGTAATGGCTTGGTTGCTGCACAACTGACTACAATCCCCTTCCAGCCCTGACCTATGCTCTGGCCACTGGAATTATTCACCCAACAGGGGTGTCATGCTCTAGGAGTCAGGCCTACTGGTACTCACACCTGGCATCTCCCCCAATACCCTTTCAGGTCTGTCAGAGTATCTGGGCCCGGCTTCTAGGTCTCCCATCAGCTCAGAATTACAGGCCTGTCTGGCCAGAAGGAACAATTCAAATCAGAAAAGCAGTGCCCTTAAGCAGCCTCTCCACAGCTCAGACTCCCCAAAGCAGAGCTGGGGCACGGAATGCGTCTATGTGAGTGCACAGTGCAAGTCTGGGTGTGCAAGTGTATGAAGAAGAAAGTGTTGTGTGAGCGAGAGGGTAGCGGATGTGAGTGTGTGGGTGCGTGTGTGCGCGTGGCTCGGAGTGTGCGCCGCTGCGCTCACCGTCCTGGGGCGGGCTGCAGGAGGGCTAGGAAGGTCTCCTCCCCCCACCGGTTGAGAAATCTCAGTGAGTCACCGAGTGGTTCTGCATATTAATGAGCTCGCTCGCTACGAGGGCAGGAGTGGATTTAAAAGAGGCCAGAGCGGGAGGAGGGAGGCTGTGGAGAGAGCGCGGAGCCCATCGCAGAGCGGGACGCGGAGCGCAAAGGGACGCGACAACCCAGAGGTATTCACCGACGGGCGCAGCCGCCGCGAGCGGGACGCGGGGCGCGTTCTGGGCACAGCGAGCCGAGCCAGGAGGCGTCTCTGGGCCGCCGCAAGGACTGACTGGCGCCCTCCCCGCGTCCCTGCTCCTGCGCCGCGCCCCTCCGGCCAGCATGAGGCTCCTGACGGCCGCGCTGCTCCTGCTGCTCCTAGTTCTGTGCGCCGCGCGCGTGGACGGTGAGTGCCCTGAGGTCCCCTTGTCGCCGTCCCGTCCTGTCTTGGGGAACCCAAGCTCCAATTACTAGGCGTCCTAGGTTCATGGGGCTCTGAGTGGGCACCGAGAGGGAAGGCGACCATGCAACTGAGTGGCTGCTCGCGCGCTTTCCTGCAGGGTCCAAATGCAAGTGCTCCCGGAAGGGGCCCAAGATCCGCTACAGCGATGTGAAGAAGCTGGAAATGAAGCCAAAGTACCCGCACTGCGAGGAGAAGATGGTTATGTGAGTTCTCGCTCCTCACCAGTGAGCGTTTGTGCCTGCGCTTCTCTTAACCGGGTGCTGGGGCACAGCCCAGGACTGGGTCGGGCTAACCAACATTTCTCTCTACCTTTGTCAAGGACTTTTCAAAGCCTTTATAATTGCCCAATGAGCCCTTAGGACGCTGGCGGGACAATTTGGAAGACAGTCCGGAAAGGGGGTCACTGTCCCGTGCTCCAGAAACAGCCTCTCCAAGGAGTTCACCCTTGTTAGGATTCAAGAGGGTAGCCCTCTATTTGCAGGCTGCTGCCCACCCCTCTGAAGGAGAAACTAACTAATCCACTGCCATTGAGTCCATTCCAACTCCTAGAGACCCCCATTGCCTTTCCAAGGCAGTAAATCTTTGGGGAAGTAGATTGCCTCAGCTGCCCTCTGTGGAGGGCTGGTGGGTTTGAACCACTGACCTTCTGGTTAGCAGCCAAATATCCTACCCACTACTCCACCAGAGCTCCTTCTCTGAAGGAGAACAAGAGTTAAATGGCCCTGTGTGCCAACTTAGAACACCCAGATTGAAATCACTCAGAACACATCAAAATCTACTCAACTTGCACCCAAACTGTGAGGCTAGCGTCCTCCTGTCACTGGAGAGAGAATTAAAGCAAGCATTTTCTGAAATTCTCAGACTCTCCTCTCAGAGCCTTTTTCCACTCAGGGGACTATCCTGGGACAGCTGGTTGCTGGCATCTAGTGAATTCATTTTGAGAATGATTCTTGCTCTTCCCTCACCCCTCAGACTCCTTGTGCATCCCGGTGCCTGAGTGGTCCTGTGGGAACTGCCTTCCTGGGGTTAATGTGAGAAGCCAGTGGAGCCCTGCTTGGTGGGGATGTGGGGAATATTTTAAAAACTGGGGCAGAGAGAACACTGCGTTTCCTTGCTCCTCTGCCTTCCCAATTAACCACTTGAGGCCAGCGCCACTGTTCCCCATCAATACACTCTTGGCCAGGGAGGGAGCCCTTGGCAAAGCAGCTACCAAATATCTGTTGCCACGGACCATTGGCCCCTCTTCCCCTCCCCCAGAAACAGGACACACTTTATTCTCAGTCTGGGCAAGTCCTTTCCGCCCGCTGGCCCTGCCGGCCCAGAGGCCTCCACACAGTATCTGTGAAGGCAGAGCCCCCGCCACCGGGGAGTTGCACCATTGGGGCAATTCGGGAACTCACTAGGCCTGAGCTGGAGCCCACTGTCTTCCTTCCAGGCACCTAAATTAACCTCATTTTCCTTGTTCTTTTGACTCTGCTCCTTTGCCTTGCAGCCTAACTCCAGAAAAACTGCTAGACAGTCCTTTTTGGTGGGGGCTGGGGTCAAACTAGCTGGGGGAATAGGAAGAGTAACTACTGGCCCCTCAGTGCTTCCAGTGGAGAGCTGAAAATGACAAGGGTTAAGTTTGCACTCCTCAAAGTACTGAAAATGTTCCATACACCGAGTCCAGGACCCGAGACCTTGCTGGGCAGGAGAAGTGCAGGGTGGGACATCTCAAAAGGACAGAGCCCTCAGTAAGCAGGTTTACTATTCCTGCTAGCTAAACTTTCCAGAATACACATGAAGACAACAACCAGGCAAGTGCACGGGAAGGCTTTATTGTGAATACTCACAGGCTTCAGGAGGTCAGCACACAGTCAGCTTCTCCTAAACTCCACTTCAGCCCATAACAGCCCCACTTCTGCCCCACACTCACCCCCACTATCCCTGAAGGACTGGAGGCTCCTCTTCCAACCTAAGATCCTAAGACCCTAGATCAGAAAAAGAAGCAGCACTTTTTGCCCAAGCAAGTTTTCAGCTGAATAAAAGTAAGTTTTCCAGCTCACCTCGAGTTACCTAGAAATCTCTACTGGAGCCAGGGGAATGGTCTGCTTTGCAAGTGAGAGTCTTTGCACGCAGAAGGGTCCAAGACAGTCCAGATGCTAGAAAAAGCAAAGTGTGCATATGTCAGCTGAGCTCTTACCAAAACGCTCAGTACCCCCAGAACTGCTGAGGAGAGGGAAGTGGGAACCAGAATTTCTGAGTAATTGTTGGGGCATGAATCCTTGTCTCTCCACTCCAACAACCAATATGCATAGTTCCAGTATTGTGCTGGGCGTTGGAGCACTGTAGTGGGAGGGCTGAGGCATCCTTTCCTGGTTTTCCTTGACCTTCAGGATCTGTGATCCATAGCTGTCTTTGAAACTGATGAAAAAGGGGATTTTTATCAGACTTTACCATGTGCTTTCATTCTGAGTCCAAAGGAGCATTGTAGGCAGAGAAAGATATGTGTTTGTCAAATTCCTATAGGGTGACTAGGTACATTGGGGGTGGGAAACATCTGGATTACATGCTCAAGCCTTGTCCCATGCTCAAGACCTAGAGACGAGACCCAGAGAGCTGCTGTGAAGGTCAATAAAGAGATGCATGTCTCATCGAGAGGGCTAGAAAAGGCAGGGCCCAGGCACTGGGCATTACAGAAGGCCCTTCACCTGCCCTGGGAAGCTTAGGCCCTGGAGGGGCCCCTAGAAACTCAGACCACAGTGAAGAGAAAAGAACAGCTGGGCCAGAAACATTTGTCTCTATTCTGGTGGCAAGATCCAATTTTCCCTCCCCATCCATTGGGAGATACAGAGTTCATGGAAAATCTGCTCCCTTGCAGAACTAGGTCCATGAGCCCTGAGACTTTGCCTTTGGTGATCAATGGAGAACTAGTTGGCAAGTCTCCCTCCCTGGCCTGTTCTTTCCTACCCTACCTCCAGCTACCCCTTCCCACCCCACACCCTCTGCCAGCTTATTCACCAGCCCCATGCCTCCACCACACCTTGTCCTCTCACGGGGTGGCATCCTCACCTCTTACCTCTCTCTTCTCTAAGTCCTCTAGGTGGCCCCTCTGCCTTGAACACTGTCTTCCCCCCACCCACCCAGAAGCTACCTCCTAGTTCCTGCCACCCCTATGGCCGGTGCCTCATGGCCCAGCCCTGGCAGAGAAGGGCACAGCAGTCTGGGCAGCAGTCTCGCTTCCCTCCCCAGGCTAGAGCACACTTTGGCCCTTGTATCTTCCATAACTAATTACTATTAACAGTCACTATTCATTGTACACCTAGTAAGGGCTAGGCATTTCGCACAGATTATATCATTTAATCACCCTAATGTAGGTCCTATTATTACATCCACTTTATAGATAGGCAAACTGGGTTCAGAGAGGCTACTCAAAGCCCCACAGCAATAAGCAACAGAGCCAGGATTCAAACCTGCACTCTGCATGATGCCACCCTGCTTCTCTGCTGCATGGTTTGGCCTCCCCTGGGTGTTGGAATATAGCTGAAATCTTCAGTGCTCAGGAGAAGGGAGGTCTTATTTTTCTGCTCAAAGGAATAACTGAAACTTCATGCTCAGAAATCAAAGTGGGCTTTAAAGCTAATAAGACTTAGATTCAGGATCACAAGTATCCAGCCCTGGGAGAATTTGCAGAGGATTGGGGGGCAACTGGGGTTTAGAGCTCAGAGACCACAGTGTCTGCAGGGATGTCTTAGCCCTGCTGTAGAGCCTCTTGAATCCATGGAAAGAGGTCTTGATGCACACGTCTCACTGCCATGAGCTCTCTCTACCTCTAACTCTGCTCAAAGGAGCTGGGAGAGCCCCTGACCTTGGAGATGAGCCCTGTAGACAGAGCCACAACACAGAGAATGGAGGGAGAGGAAGCTTTCCCAGATTCTGAGGGCTCCACGGGACACAGTGTCATGACCTAACATGGAATCAGAGATTAAAGTGACACCCTGAACCTTCCAAAGAGCTAGCCAGGAAGTGAGCACATGAGTAGGCTCCCTGAAGAGGAGTGAAGAGGCCACAGTCTCTCAGGGCCCTGATATGGACAGATCAGGGCCACCCATAGGCCACATAAGGAGCTGTTCTTCAAGTTCCCCAACCCTCCACCCCATCCCACTCTGTTTCAGCATCACTACCAAGAGTGTGTCCAGATACCGGGGTCAGGAACACTGCCTGCACCCCAAGCTGCAGAGCACCAAGCGGTTCATCAAGTGGTACAACGCATGGAACGAGAAGCGCAGGTAAGCCTCTCCTCTTCTATACCCACCTTTCCACTTAAGATGGAAAAGGATCACACTTCTGGGTCATTAGCCCCCTGTCTAATGTGTGAACACCCACCATTATATCCCCAGCAAGCAGATACCCAGACATTACTTACATACCCCCAGAGACGAGGAACTCACCACTTAACAAAGCAGGCTATTCCTCTCTCAGACAGTTGTAAACATCAAAAATTTATCCTTTTGTACACTAAACTTTGCTCTATTCTAACTTGTATATGTCAGCCCTAATTGCCCTTCTTATTTAAACATCTTAAATTCTCTGATCCCCAGTTTCTTTCTCTGTCAAATGGCTGGGAACACACCTGGCATGGCTGTCTCCTGTGGTTCTTATGCGGTGAAATATGACCATCTAAGTGACTTGCTTTATTAACTATAAAGCTATAGGTATAACCACGAGCTGATGGGATCAACTTGCTAACAACGCATTCTTCCCTCCAAGGTGCCCAGGCCCCCTATTGCCCAGAAACCTGATCAACTCCTCCCCACACAGGTGCAGGGAGGGAGCTTGGGTTTGACCCTTTAAATGAATGCTACTCTTAGCCTCAGAGAAGCATCACGGACTAGGTGAAAAGAGACTTGCACCAGACCTTTCCCTCTCTGGGTGTCTGCTTCCCCATAATCAAGGGTGCATGCCCAGCTTTGGTCTCCTGGGGTCCTAGGTCTGCAAATGGAGGGGAAGGAAACTTCTTGGCTCCTTCAAACCATGTAAAAAGGAACTTTTCCCAGACCAGGCCATTCCTTGCAAACTCAGGGCCTGTTTATACCTGTACCTGTATAGGATGGCAGAGAAACAGGTGACTTCCCTGGACTGGGCCTAGCCCCTCCCTCATCCTGCACAGGCCAAGAGGAGGTAGAGAGTGACTTGACTAGAAGACAGGGCAAAGCCAGCGCAAAAAGCCAAGCCTCCAGCACTGCCCCCCCCTCCCTGGGGTGGAGGGCACAGCTGCAGTGGGTACCTGTGCTGCCCCTCCCACTCCTGGCCCTGGGGTCCCACTTGCAGTCCCATGACCAGCTCTCCCACTGCTGACACTTGGGCCTAACCCCAATATTTGAGTCTTTTTTCTGCTGCTTCCAAAACTGCCTCATCTGCAGTTGCTTGAAATAGCAAGTGATGAGAGCGGGAGATTATTTTCTATAAATTGAATGGGAATGAAGCCCTCTATCTGGTCAGGGCAGGCAGCTTATGTGGCCAAAGCCCAACCTGCCCTATCCACTCTCAGTGACCCTGCAGAGCCACGTCATCAAAAGTGAAAGGCACCTAATCCAAGATCAGCTCCTGGAGAAGGCTGAGAATGTCTTTATCTGATTGCATGGGACACCATCCGTCCACTTTTGATGATTCAGCTCTTGGAGAGTAATGGAGAGGTGGCATGCAGGTACCTGAATATGGCCCTACTCATTTTCACTTCTGCAAATTCCAATGATGACAGCAGTGACTGCATCTCAGTTACTAGTCCTTGCCTTTGCATCAGTCCAAAATTCTTCACCTTCTGCCTTGAGTGCTGAGATGTCCTGGGAATGGCATGGGACACTCCCTTCCCCCCCACCCCATCTGGAAAATGTTGAAAATGCCTCAATGAATACAAAATGGAGATAAAGAAGTTGGTTTGAAGTCCTCTTAACAGAGACAGAGAGATGATCCTAAGGTAGAGGAAGGGGAAAGGAGGGCCCTGGTCCATGGGTGCTACAGGCATCTTAGAGACCAGAGTTTCTGGCTACTATGGGAAATAGAAAGAGCTCTGGTGGTGTAGTGCCTAAGGTACTTGACTGCTAACCAGAAGGCTGGTGGTTCAAATCCACCAGCCGCTCTTCAGAGGAAGGTTGGACAATCTATTTCTATAGTAATACTGCCTCAGAAACCCAAGGAGGGGTCGCTAGGAGTCGGATCCAACTTGACAGCAGTGAGGGGAAATAGCAATATCAAGCGCTTTATTTCCATGCATAATTAGGTGGTCTTATGCAAATTCAGGAGTAGGCCAAGGCAGAGGATGTGATGGTCTGTCTCAGTATGAAGAGCGGCCCCTAAGGAGCCATGGGCAGAACCATTGTTTCTGTTAGTTGCCATTGAGTTGATCCCACATGTTGCAGAGTGGGTTGTGCAAGGCTAGGACCTCTCAGAAGCAAATTGTCAGGCTTGGCATCTTCCAGTGTGTCTCTGGGTGAGGTCAAATTGCCATCCTTTCAGCTAATAGTCAAGCACTTACCGTTTTTGACACCCAGAGAGCCCAGAGGTAGAACTAGAAGGAATTAAAGTACTTAAATGGAGACATCTTTGGAGGGAAGGGAGTAAGGTCAGCTTGTGAATCCACACAGGCCTGATAACTATCTAAGGTGAGCCCAAGGCAGCCGAGAGAAGGTGACAACAAAGCAAAGGCAAAGGTCACAGTCTCAGCCCCAGAGTTTTCAGCCGTGGACCACAGTAAGGGGCAGAGCAGCTTCTAGAACTAGGATCTACCTGGAGGACATGAACTCTTTGGGTAAAATACTACAGAAAGATATGAGCCTGAGTCTAGGGAGGGGATGCTTTGCCCTCCACTACCCTGCACACACACACACACACACACACCCCTGCTTTCCCTAAAAAGAAGGGATAAGCACAGATGAGGAGCCATCCAAGGGGATACAGGAGCAGTCACCATACTGGAAACAGACCTTGTTTCTGTCACTGATGTTCAGTATTCACTGGGCAATCTTAAGGCTCTTGTGCCTCAGTTTCCTCATATGCAAAGAGGATTTGCTTCCTAGGGCTTTGAGGATGAAATGAGATTGCACAGGTGGAGCTGTTTGTTGTTGTTGTTGTTGTTATTTGCCGTCGAGTCGGCCCCGACTCATAGCGACCCCTCCTTGGGTTTCCAAGGCTTTAGAAAGTAGAAAGCCAGGCTTATGTGAGCTTTTGTGGTCAATATGAGCACATCCTCTAAGATGCCCCTCCCACCTCTCTCAGCTCCTGCCCAATCCTGAGAGAAGAACACCTCCCCACAGACATAAAGGAACTTAGCCATCCACCTGTGAATTGCCTGCTTTCCATCCAGAGCCACTTACACGTCTGTTTTTCCTTCTTCCCAGGGTCTACGAAGAGTAGGATATGAGAAGACTGATATGGAAACTCCAGACTGGATGGGAGACTTGAGCAAAGGACTTTGCTTAAAACAAACAAACAAACAAATCTTTTCTTTCTCACAGGCATAAGACACAAATTATATATTGTTATGAAGCACTTTTTACCAAGGGTCACTTTTTACATTTTATAGCTATGTGCAAAAGGCTTCCAGATGTGAGACATGTCTCTTGCGCTCCAGACTCCATCACAGGCTGCTTTTTACTGAAAAGGGGGAAAGTCATGCCTTTCCTTTTTAAAGAGAGCTTTTTTGTATTTGTCCATGCATCACTGTTTGCGTCTGAGCTTTATAAGCACCTGGGAGGACCAGTGAGCTTGGTTGAGGCACTTCATACCAGTGTTTCTCCATTCCTAGCCTGAGAGGCTTCCATTTAGAGTTCTTAGGGTCTCAGTGCAGTAGTCACAGACTTCCCTGGGCTCACGGTGAGTCATAGTCACATCCACAATGGCCCTAGTCACCAGGCAAGCAGGAGCAGGTCTCTCTGCATCTGTCCTTTGAGGAACTCAAGTTTGGCTGCCAGAGAAATGTGCTTCATTCCCCCAGTTAGTTTTTACACACTTCAGAAAGACATTCCCAAGATCCTTTGATAGTGAAGCAAATGATCCTTAAGAAAGGTGTTGGGTCTCTTCTCCAAATTGAGTGTTGCAAAAATGTCACTGCTTCAGTATTTAATCCTTCCAGAAACATGTGAGGTTCCCAACACTGTTAGTAAAGAAGTTAGGAGAAAACATAGAAACATAAGAATACATTCACAATATACAGCTACAGGCACACATTCTGTTGATGAGGGAAAATCTTCAAGGGTCTCTTTCCCTAACCACAATGGAACATTCAAAACTAAAGCAGTATATTTGTGATTCCCCAGGTAACTCCTCAGTGTTAAACAGGTCAGTTCTCATTTGAAAGCTAAGTTGACCAAGCTCCCTTTCCTTTGTAAATATGGTCTAAGAATGGCCCTCTCCACACACTATCCCTCCAGTATACGCCTCCTTGTACTGCTGTGTTATATGCTATGTAAATGTCAGAAACCATTAGCGTTGCATGCAGGTTTCATATTCTTTCTAAGACAAAAAGAAAAGAAATAAAATATATTTGAAATGAACCAAAATTCTCGACTACTGGGTTTTCTTTTTGTTTGTTTTTTTTTTTTTTTCCTATTTAATTTGGCTAAGATGACAATGAGGAGCTCTGGTAGCATAGTGCCTAAAGCATTTGACTGCTAACCAGAAAGCTGGAGGTTCAAACCCACCTCCTTGGAAGGAACATCGGGCAATCTACTTCTGTAGCAATACTGCCTCAGAAATCCAAGAAAGGGCCACTATAAGTTGAATCAACTCGATGGCAGTGAGTTTGTTTTTTTTTTTTTTTGGTTTTAAGATGATAACGTGGTCCCAGGTGGCACAAGTGTTTTACACTCAACTAAGCTATGAGTCGGGGCCAACTCGACGGCAAACAACAACAACAACAACCTAAAGGTTAGAAGTTTGAACCCCCCCAGAGGCTCCACAGAAGACCAAGAAAACCCCACAAAGCAGTTCTACTCTTTAACACATGGGGTCGCCATGGTTGTAATTGATGGTAATGGATTTGGAGTTTGTTGGGGTGGGGGGTACAGTGAAAATAATGTCCTGAATAAACAGGGACAAACGTATTAAGAAAGAAAGCTGGTGTTTCTGTCATGTCTGGGAAATGTGTGGGGCTATTGTTACAGTGACAAGAAGCCAAGCTTAAGGCTAATGCTTCTTCTTCCAAGTTCAGCAGAGTGGGCAGGTGGGTAAGTACATGACTGGAGGGTCATGCCTCACTCCCAGTCAAGGGGCCCTGGGTCCAGGGTCCAAAGATTCCAGTGGGGCCCAAGGAGTGGACTGTGGAGGAGCAGGAAGCTCACCTGTCTGGAAGCCACACCTGGGAGATCTTGATGCTCTGTATCTGCTTCTGTAAGATGAAGAGGACAGTCATGCAGCCTCATCACACCTCTGAAGACTGAGCGAGGACACCCACATGAAACACTTTGAAGGATCCCAGGCCTATGGTGCCAAAGCCAAAACCCACTGTGGTTAAGTCAATTCTGACTCATGATGACCCCATATGTTAGAGAATAGAACTGCTCCATATAGTCTTCTTGGCTGTAATCTTTACAGAAGCAGATTGCCAGACCTTTTCTCCAAGGCATCACTGGGTGCATTTGAACAGCCAATCTATAGGTTAGCAGCTGGCCCAAAACCACTTTCACCAACCAAGGAGCTAGGCCTGTGATGAGCACTTGGTAAATGTAAGCTATTATTACATGCACAAGTATTGCAGAGTAGAACTATGCTCCATAGAGTTTTTGTGGCTGTGCCCTTTTGGAAACAGATCACTAGCCCTTTCTTCCAAGGCACCTCTGGGTGCTTTTGAACCACCAACCTTTCAGTTAGTAGCCTACGCTTAACCATTCATGCCACCCAGGGACTCCACTGTGTGCCCACATGATGCTATTGTAGACCCTGTACATCACAACCTCATTACTTCCAGGCAGCTCCACTTTGCACCCAATGTGTTCCCGAGGAAACTGAGGACCAGGCAGGTTAAGAAAGTGGCTGCACAGAGGGCTGTCACCACTCATCACACTGCTTCTAATGGCTGAGCCTGCGAGCCTACCTGCTGGGATGGGTGAGGCTACACTAGGCTGGAGAACATGAATGTTGGTGCTCTGGCCTTGTCTTGCCTTTCCTTGTGAGAAAAAGGGAGAGTGGACACAGAAGCCCAGAGACCAAGCAGAGTAGGAGAGCCATGGCAGCCAACACATTCTGAAGACAGGGCCCTGTCACTTGCCCTGGGAGCCCTTGGTCTGCTTGGCTGTAGATTAACAACAATGGGGCCTGTCTTAGTTACTTAGTGCTGCCGTACAGAAATACCACAAAGGGGGTGGTTTTAAAGGGCAGTAATTTCTCCTCCCACTGTTCTGAAAGCTAAAAGTCTCAATCAGGGTCTCCGCTGTGCTGATTCCCTCTTAGTTGCTGCTGTCTGCGGATGACCCTTGACATTCTTTGGTGTTCTTGGCATCGTCTTCCCTCTGTGTATGTGCCTCAGTGTCTATTCTTGTCTCTTTAAAACCCAGAGTGATTAGGTTTAGGATCCACCCTACACTAGTGTTGCTTCATTAACATAACAAAAGGTGTGATCCAAACAGGACCACATCCACAGATACAAGGGCTGGGGATTCAATACATATTTAGGTTAGGAGTGCATCTCACATAAAACCACAGCAAGGAAATTGATTCATAGAACCATCCCACCCCCAACTGCAAAGCCTGCTCATTTGCTAGCATGACAGCATCAAGCATAGGTGTCTCTGTGCTGGTCCTTGAGTTTCTGGCTTCACCTTCATCTCTTGCAGAGTCTTGCTGCTAAATGTGCTAAGCAAACCCCATGTCTTGGGGCTCTCCTTTTTCCCACCTGTGGTTCTAGTGCCAGCATATATAGCCATATGTCCTCACCCTGTCAGCCCAATCGTCCTCACTCTTCTCCTACCTCCCAGATCCCTGATCAATTAGAATCATAGTAACCAGGTCACCTGACAGTGTGCCTGGGACTGACCTAGATGCTTGGTGTGCATTCTCTCTCTTCGCCCTCCCAACAGTTCAATATTGTAGGTACACAGTCAAGTGCAGCAGCTTGTTTAGGAGACACAGGCAGTAAATCAGGAGAGCTGAAACTCAAGTCCTAGTCTTTCAAAGGGCAAGAGTAGAGGTTTTGTGTGCAGATTTCTCATGTCTCTGGAGAACAAAGGTTGGGCTGGGTTTGTGTGGAGGTTTCAGATCCTTTCCTCCAATAGACAGGTGTTAGCCAGATCAACAACACTTTACGGAACACCAAATGAGGACCCACCCAAATGAAGAACTGCATTAGGCTCTCCCAGAAGAATCTCCCTTCTCATGGTTACAGAGCAGTTTTCTGTACTTTTTCTCTGGGCTTCCCAGCAGCCCTATGATGTGTCTACCCATTACATTCCAGAAGGAGAGTAAAGCTAGGACAGCAATGCACAAAGCAAGGCCAGGCTGCCTTTCCAAGTGGACCCTACAGTCATGGCTCTCATGGGCTCCCCTGGGGTGGGGTAAACCCTGCTTCTTTGCACAAGGGGTAGGCAAGGCCCACATGCAGGCTCTATCTCTAGAGTCACCACTCCTCATATGCTTCAGGGTCCCAATACCATCACCTCTGACCCAACCACTCTCCCCACATCCTGAGCGCATACCTGGTGCTGGCACCAGGCTTGACAATGGAAGAGCCATATCCTTGGAGAACTCCCCCCAAGTCCTCAGCCTATCTTCTCGGTCTAGCCAAGCTAAAAAACACCAGGCCCTGAAAATGATGTAGTTGTCCAGATGTGAAGGCTGTGGTGACCAGGAAAAGCCCCATGGTAGAGGGAGCAGCTGAGAAAAGCTTGGCTAGGCAAAAAATAAGGAGTTCTGGTAGCATCGTGACTAAGGCATTTGATTGCTAACCAGAAGGCCGATGGTTCATACCCACCAGCCACTCCTCGGAAGGAAAATGGGGCAATCTACTTCCGTAGTGATACTGCCTCAGAAACCCAAGAAGGGTTTGCTGTGAGTCAGATCTGACTTGACGGCAGTGAGTTTGGTTTGGTTTTTTTTTTTTTTTTGGTAAAAAAAATTTCAGAATTTCAAAAAGGTGACAGCAGAGTACTAAACCAAGTGTGAGGCCAAAAAAGAGCAGAGCGTTGTGTGACTGCACATGTTGGATGTCCATGAAGCCACCCTACCTTGGGTATCAACTCTGACACTCATCCTGACCCTAAATTATTACATGACTTTCATTACAGTTTAATAGTTTTATTTCAACTTGAACTTCTAACAAGATAATGTTCTTAGAAGCCAGAGATTATGCCTTATGCTTCTTTGTGAAGACCTCCAAAAACGCATGATAGCATTTGTTATTATTACTATGAATGAATGAATGAATACTAGGATCTTAAGGAGCTTCCTGGCTTCAGTTTCAATGTATCATGAAACATTCATCAAA